CGCTGGAGCAAGCCAAACCTGTGAAGATGGCTGCAGCCTTTTTCCAATGTGCATGAATATATATTTTCCTCCAATCTTAATTTAGTTTCAGAGTTTTCATCTTGAAATTTTTAGTTCCTGCATTGCGGTTTGTTTTTATGCCCTTTTTATATTTCTTTTTGCGTCTTAAAATTCGCTTGCAACTAAATCATTAAATGTTACTGTTTTTTTTTTTCAGGCATTTCATTTTCTTGCAATTGAATTTTGTTTTCAGGGGTCATTGGATTTAAGTGTCTTAAATAAGTAAGTAAGTAAGTAAGTAAGTAAGTAAGTAAGTAAGTAAGTAAGTAAGTAAGTAAGTAAGTAAGTAAGTAAGTAAGTAAGTAAGTAAGTAAGTAAATAAATAAATAAGATATCATCACCGTGGGGAGGGGGGTGATGATAACTTCCTCAATGGCTCAAGGGGGCGTTTCTTTCAAAAAGGTTAAGAACCACTGCTCTAGTGCCAACTATGCCCGTTCCTGGGATGTCTGACCTGGACATGGTGACACATCTCTTCATTTTTTCCCATTTGAATTCCTGTAACCCATTCCACATGGAGTTAGCCTTTGAAAAGTTTAATTCCAAAATGTTGTGGCCAGACTGTTGACTGCAGCTGCTACAGAATATATACCATTACAGTGGTGCCTCGCTTAGCGATCGCTCCCAACTATGCCCGTTCCTGGGATGTCTGACCTGGACATGGTGACACATCTCTTCATTTTTTCCCATTTGAATTCCTGTAACCCATTCCACATGGAGTTAGCCTTTGAAAAGTTTAATTCCAAAATGTTGTGGCCAGACTGTTGACTGCAGCTGCTACAGAATATATACCATTACAGTGGTGCCTCGCTTAGCGATCGCTCCGTTTTACGGCGAAATCGCTTAGCGACGCTGTTTTTGCAATCGCAAAAGGGATCGCTTTGCGATGATCGCGGGGAAGCGATCATCGCAAAGCCCCCATTTTCGGCCAGCTGATCGGTGGTTCCAAAATGGCCGCCGGGGAAAAAATGGCCGCCCGCAGTTTTGCCTCGCTTTAGAGGCACCGAAAATGGCCGCCCCTATGGAGGATTTTCGCATAAGGTTAGTTTTTAAGCCCATAGGAATGCATTAAATGCGTTTTAATGCGTTTCTATAGGCTTTTTAAAATAGCTTAGCAATGTAATCGCTTAGCAGCGATTTTTGCTGCACGGATTAACATCGCTAAGCGAGGCACCACTATACCTTAATGTGACAACTTCATTGGTACTGGTATGTCTCCAGACACTGTACAGCTTCAGCCCAGATTATCTGAAGGACTGGATTCTCTCATACCATCTTACATAGGCTTTCAGATTTTCCAGGGAGGATCCTCTTTGTGTCCTTCCACCTTCGCAGGCACATTTCGTAAGGATGTGAGAAATTACCTTCTTGGTGGTTGCTTCCAAACTATGGAACTCCCTGCCAAGGAAGGCCAGGCAATAGATCCTGGTCTTCCAGTTGTCAGGAGGAAACAGGGTTACATTCATTCAGGCTTTTTTCCACAGACCAGATGCTGAGAAAGGTGGCTGTTAACAGTTGGATTCTACACTCTACGTAATGATATTTCTAAAGTGTATTTTTTGAAATATACATTTCATCAATTAATTTAAAATTTTGATATTTGTATTGTAACTGTATTTTTTATTTGCTACTACTATAAGCCACCTTAAATTCAATTCTTGGGAGGAAAGTGAGAGACAAGCTCCATCAATATAAAAACCTTAGAATGTGAGAGAACTGTTGTGTGCACAATCGCCCTTATTAAATTACCAGAAGCACTCCTTTAGAGAAAGTGAATAGCAAGAATGGATGTATGGATTAAAAAGGCTATTACAGTGGTGCCCCGCATAGCGACGTTAATCTGTTCCAGAAAAAACGTCGCTATCCGGATTCTTCGCTATGTGGGGCAAAAAAACCCATAGGAACGCATTAAAATACGTTTAATGTGTTCCTATGGGGGGAAAACTCACCTTTAAGCGAAAATCCTCCATCCGCCCGCCATTTTCGGTGCCCAGTAAGCGAGGCAACACAGCGGGCGGCCATTTTGGAACCGCCGATCAGCTGTGCAAAAATGGGGCCTTTGGGATGATCCCCGGGGAGTGCTTCCCCGTGATCATCCCAAAGGCCTCGCTGATCAGCTGTGCTTCGGCGCTGGCTCTCTCTCCCCTCGCAGCTCCAGCCTGGGCAGGGAGACTGAGGCACCGCGCGGTTGCAAAGATTGCGGGGAAGCCAGCTTTGCAAACCCCAGCCTCGGCGCTCTCTCTCTCTCTCTCCACCCCTTGCAGCTCCAGCCTGGGCAGGGAGACGGCCAGGGTGGCAGCGCGGTGCCTCAGCCTAGTACTGTGCATTATCACTGTGATAATGCTACAGTGATGGTACCAGTACTGAAAACTGTCAAAGTGAACTTTGAAAACAGTACATCGAATTCAAATTTATAAGAAGCACCAACAAAAGTACATCTTAGCAGGACAGTGGTGGTGGTACTGAGTTTGAGCAGGAATGGATTGCTAAATTCCCCATTATATGCCCGCATGAGTTCATATAGAATATCAACTTAGACAATTGAGCTTCCAATCCTGAGGTACACATTATATTGCAAAGCAGTGCTGGGCATATGAAATTGGAGCAAAGAAGTGTAGTAGTGGGTGGGAGGGAAGAAAGAGCATCAGCTACTATCTAACTAGTGCCCTTAAGATGCATTAAGTTGCAACTACCATCATTCCTGAAACTGGCCATTTAAGCCAACCTTGGGTCCTCAGATGTTCTTGGACTGCAAATCCTAGAAATCCTGGCCAGCACAACCAGTGGTTAAGACTTCTGGGAGTTTCAGTCCAGGAACATATGGGGACCCAAGGTTGGGAACCACTGGTTTAAAGGTATCATCTTTAACTTCCAATATCCTGGCTTTGTGTAGTTTGAGTCAGTATGTGACAACTTTAACTCTCATCATAACTAGGCAGTTTTTTGCATATCTCATAAATGGGTTTTGACATAAGGCTTTGTACAAGAACGGCTAGAACTGATAACCCTTTACCAGATATTCAACATTTCTGCTAATCTCAGACAGATACACTAGTGCGTTTATTCTCCATCTTCATCACCTCCTAACTTCTGCTGTCATCATACAGTGGAATCCCAGCAGAATTCAGCAGAATGTGCGATTCTAAGTGAAGCTGATACATGCCCAGAAGGCCACATTTCTGATTTCCTAAGGACAGTTGCTAAACAGCATCAGATGGCTTCAGTCAAGCAATTTCTGCCAGCATCACACCATGAATAATTAGAAATAATACTGGTGACCAGAATCTTGTGTATATAAAATTGGGAGATTTATGTTACCTTCAAATACAGCACTTACAACCTAAGATATTGCCAGAATAGTCTAGATAGGTAGGTTTTGATACAATAAAAAGTCAATAAATTCAATTTGCAGCAATATATATTTTAATTCAAAGTGAATCTCGACAGTAATACACCATAAATTCTTATTTTGACACTCACCAAAATAGTCACCTGGAAAACCCGCTTTTTGTGACAAAGTACAGAAGGCTTGGTCACATTTAAATCACTGAGAACTAGAGAGAAATACTATCGCAAACTGTAGGAAACATTACATCCATAAAAATTTTCCCAGTCCTCTTATTGTAATATTGCACAGTGCAATTGCTACATGGCAAACTAGTGTAGCACAGAAATCAAGAACAAAAAAGCCACAATTCTACAAATAATTATTAAACTGTAACAGTTCAAACTTAATAACCAAATCTATATTAGTTCTAAAACAAATCTTTCTATAGCTTGCAGTGTGATCTGAACTCTTACTTAACACAAACCAAGTTAAAATTAGCAGTAAATACAGAATATTTAAAAATTAAAAACAAAATAATTAGTTAATACAGTAGTATATTTGATCAATAACCCACCCTGAATTAAAAACTGAATACAAGGAATATAAAAATTAATCTCCAAATTAAAAATAATATGCCGCTTTCGTTAATTGTGCAGTGTTTTATTTAAAAGGCATTTGAAAGATAAGATGTATAGATGCATATTTGGGACTTTTCTGATTACTGATTTATACCCTTGCCCTGTCTTGCTCTCTGTAGACAGATTCTTAGTTCTCCAAAGCCACAGGCACCAAGATTCCACACAGCAATCAGCACTGCTTTGATGTGAATTTGTGGACTGCGGCCTGAGTAAGGACAAAAAGTCTGGACCTTCACTGCAGTTCTTATTACAGAACTGGTTGCACAGTAATAAAATTATGTGCAGTATTTGTTTTAGCAAACCTGATGTATCACCTATGAAAAGTAAAAACAACAACAATTCTTTTACAAAATGTTTGAAGCCACAGCTTCATTTGGAGTATATGGACAGAAGAGGTTTCATGTTTACCATAGCACAAAGTGCCAAATACATTAGCTTTACATCCTAAAGAGAGTTTAAAAGCACAGTGCATACTTTAGAGAAAGCAAGGTCCAAGTAAATAAAAAGAAACAATTTTTGTTTTGTTTTGTTTTCCTTATATATATAAAAAAAGGAAGCTAGCTTCAGGTTCCCTGGTGAGACCAATGCCAGCAACAGAAACAGCACCAAGAAATCCCATTCTCAACACCAAGAAGTTAACTGAAAATAAGAATTTGCTGAAACATTAATGTTAAAGAGCACAACAAATTGACTTATTTCAATTTCATTTGTGTAACGTTCAGAATTTACTGTTTTTTTTTGGGGGGGGGAATTCAGTTTTTACCAGGCTGTTCAGAGATATATAAATACACATTTATACAAAAGATTTTATGAAAAACTACTGAGGTTGCAAGGCTAACCGCTTTTCTTTTGGTAGACCCAAGGGTTTGTGTGCCTCCAATGGTATTGTCTTTTATTCTGATGTGAAAGGAATCCCTCAAGCATCATATCAAAAACTGATTTTTAAGCTTTTGAAACAATCAAAAGTGATTTCCTGTACAAGACAGGGTTTTCTTACAGAAGGAAGAAAGTTACGTCCCCAAGTACCCCAATAGCCATGAAGGGCTGTGGCTCCAATTGTGACCCAAGAGTCCAGGAAAGGGCTTAATTCCCATATTCAGCCTTTAAAATGTACTGCTCATTTTGGTTATTATGAACTAATACTGCTGTATTTAAGTCCTTTAAAATAAATCAAATACAGGCACATTTATTTCACTTAGACATTCATTAAATAAAACACTGCTTGTGTTAATGGAGCAAAGAAAACTATCAGCTGTTAGCTGGCTGAGGCTACAATCCTATGCAATTTCCTAGAAGGAAGTCCCACTAAGCTCAGTGGAGTTTACTTTTAAGTAAGCATACATAGGACCATGCTAGCCAGAAACCCTTTGCACTCCTATTCCAGTCTATACTGCAAGAATTGTATTCCAGAAACATTTTTTTAAAAAAAGTTAAGTAGTTTTAAGGGTCTGCACAATGTCAATATGAACACATAAAAATTAAATTACATTGATACATCAACTTTATATGCAATGATAGTTAATGGAGATAAAATACTGATGCAAATAACACACCCCAAAATAACATATGCAATTGTATTCCATCATTTACAATATAGTAGTTACAACACTCCAAACATGAAAAGCAAACATAACAAAATCAACTCCCTACATCCATTTCATGTAATTAGACTCATACAGAAATTAGAAGGCTAAGAACTAGTTAAATCACCTAATTTCACAGCTATCTGAAGTGGCAATCATTATATAGCAGCTTATCTATGATACATTCAAGATAAATGATACAATTTATTACTTGCCTCATAAGCTAGATCACAGCCTCACTTAATACCTTCCTTTAAATCCACCCTAACACTACAATATGCTTGAGGTCTATGAATAAGTAGCTACCTTTGATAGGAAATGGATGATTACGTCTTTGGTGCTGCAAAAGCAATTTCATTTGAACACAAACAAAAACACAGAAAAGATGGACTTCCTAAGGGAAAAAATGCATGTAATTTGTTGTCCCTGACGGAATGTATTAAATAAGAATTCCCAAAAGGCTAGAACAAATACTATATAATGTAAAAAGGCTAAAATCTCTCCCATGCATAAATGAAAAATTGCACACAAAGTACTCACATCTTTTCAAGCTTCAATAGTAAATATTCCGCTACTATTTATTAAATACTGCATGGTGTGCTGAAGCTAAGATGAAACCACAGCATAAAGCAATGAGCATTTTGCTTTTTTCTTTCATAATCTAGCCAAGTCATGCCTACTGCACCTCTAAACAGGTTATTAAATCCAGTTGGACATAAACACTTTGAAAATAAACTAATTAAGTGTGTATTGCAGTTCCACTGAAAAGTATAAAACATCCGTTTGTTATTCAACAGCTACTGAATCAACTTTTCCTAAGCACTACAAAATGCTTTTCTTGAAGCTGATTATTCCAGGGGGAAAGATCAGACAGCAGAATTCAGCTATAGCAAAAACATGCTGCCCTCTAGATAAAGAAATCACACCCAATATTAAAATTATGCCACACAACTAGAAAAAAGAAAAAAAGGAGAGTGAGCTCGCATAACTCTATCAAATAATCAGCAAATCTGAATGTTAAGTGCTGCAGTCCTCAACATTTATAATATAGTAACATTAACAACCTCAAATATTTAAGGCACTATGTGTAGGAACTGTTTACAATGCAGCTGAGATTATTAGGACACCAACATTTAAGAGCAAGTTTCTAGGCAACTTTCGTTTTGCCCATGCAAAAGACACATGCAATGTGAAGAACAGCTCAATCTTTTTAGTTAAGTGACTCGACACTGAACAGCAAGACACGCAATACAAACAAATTACTCATATATGATACTGATGACACATGTGCATCCGTTGCTCTAAATCTGTATACTCAATGGCTTCCCAAATGTAGACGTGTCTCGCACTAGTTAGAAGGCAATTTTATAAAAAATAGTAGGAGCAAAACTGGATTTCTACTCCCATAAGTCACCTGTCTGGAGTTACTCTATAAGATAACATGACTAAAGACAAATTTATACCAAATGTGCAAAAAACACATTAAAAGTGAGTTAAAGCTCAAGGTTGTTTAAATTGCACCCAAGTCTAACATGATTAAAAAAAATAATTTTCTTGTTGTGCCATGGCTAATATTTATTAAATACCATGTTCTCCTCTCAAATCAGATGTATGTATCACCGAGTTTCATCAGGATACTGTAACTCAAGTCTCACATAAATGGATATTGGCTGAGTTTTGTTGGACTCAATGGAAATCCTGTGTAAGCAGGTGATGCAATGTAAGAATGTGGAGGGAAAACTGGTTTGTACTGAGTCTGATGAATGGTTGGGGAAGGCAGCAATCGGGGATTTATGCCCACTGGGACCTGGTGAACAATGCCACTGTGATGAGAGATACTGTAAGTGGGATGCTGTAAAATCGGTCTTGAGGTACATGGTGAGGCTAAGATGTGGGCAACAGGAGCAGCAGTACTCAGGGGTGCAGATGATGGATAAGGTAGAATAGCAGGCTGTCCTCCAAGATGTGCACTTCCAGCCAAATGTGCATGGACCGAGCTATGAGTGGGACTTCCGTGTTGAAGGGAGAATGCATGACTGGCAACATTAGTTGGGATGTATGCTTGCTGCCTCCAATGACCACAGTTTCCATTCCACTCCTGAGACCCAGCTCCAAAGTGCTGAACCTGTCCCAAGAGAAAGTACAGTTAATTTTAAACTAGAAACACCATCTTCTACAAATAGTCTGCCATTCAATGCTGCTTGAACTCTCATGGGGAATGGGCTTTCATTTTTTAAAATTTTTATCTTCTCCCCTGCATGTCACAGCAGAAGAACTGCTCTGCTGGATCAAACCACGGAACCACCTAGACCCACATTCTGCTTACAAATACCATCAGACAGCTGCTTCTGAGAAAGCCCTGACATCTGATACATTGAGGGATATTGTCTTTGAACACGGAAGTTCTGTTTAGCTATCAAAACAGATAAAAAGACCTATTCCCTTTGCAGTTAGCAGCTATCAGCACATCTTGGGCTAATTTAAGCTCCCTAATTTAAGAACATAATAACTTGAATCCAATGTTTGAATGAGTGGGTTTTCATCATAGGATGGCTCTAATCAAGGGAAGGGGGGCAGCAGCAGTTCATTTTCCCCTGCAGGCCTCTGAGAATCTAGTCCAGAGAACCAAGACACTCTTCCAAATAGGGTGGAAGACACACTGCAGGTAAACGGAGAAATTATTTTAAAACAAGGTCTACCCATTTATGGTATTTATATACAATGGATATAATAACATCTCTAACTGGCTTAATATAAAGCATATATAATAATTCTTCTAGGTTTTCCATGCCTCTGACACTTTTCCAGTAAAATAAAGAACAGCAGAAAAAAAGGAGAGGCACTGGTAACTGGGAGCTGAACAAATCTACTTTACCAAAACTAATACAGTGGTGCCCCGCTTGACAACGATAATCCATCACAGGAAAATCACTGTTAAGCAAAATCGTCGTCAAGCGAAAAAAAACCCCATTGGAATGCGTTGAAAACCAGTTAATGCGTTCCAGTAGGGAAATACCTTATCGTCCAGTGAAGATCACCCATAGAGAACTGCCGATCAGCTGCTTAAAATCGCTGTTTTCCGAAGCAGGGGTCCGGAAAGCAGCCATTTTGCGAAGGGAGGGAAGCCATTTTGCGGAACCGGAACAAACATCGTTTAGCGAACAAATGGTTCGCGAAGCAGGCTCCTAATCAACGTAATGCGAAAAAAACCCATTGGAACCATTGTTTTGCAATTGCAATAGCAATCTCAAAAACCTCATTGTCAAGCAATTTCGACATCAAGCAGGGTCATCATCAAGCAGGGCACCACTGTAGATCCTTCCATTAGTTCTGCATGACACTCAAATGCTGCTGCCCTTCACATGCACATTAAACTTTGCAGAATAGTTTTTCTTTGCTAATCTCCTCCTGTGACTATGTGTGAAAACCACAGCCATGCAGTTTGCAAATTATGCTTCTCCCACTCAGCTTGCTTCACTAGTGATGCTAGTCTGACATACACAGGATATAACATTTATAAAGTTCAGAGAACAAGATTTCAATCTCGAACAAAAAGCATTATGATCTATGGACACATATTTTTGGCATGTGCTTCAAAATTCATGAATGACAATTGTTGAGAATGGAGAGTCCCCACAAAAACCAACAACATGAGAGACCTTGATGTTACTGTTTCATATATAAAAGCCAGTATTAGGAGAACAGCCTGGAGGCAGGCGGTACATCACGGCCTCTCCCAATTTGAAGAGACCCTTGTCCAGCAGGCCGAGGCAAAGAGGAAGTCACGAAGGAAGCAAAACCAGGGAGCTGGACAGGGGACAGATTGGATTTGTCTTCAGTGTGGAAGAGATTGTAACTCTCGAATTTTCCTCCTCAGCCACTGTAGACGCTGTTCCAAGTCCTCCATACAGAGCATGCTACCATAGTCTTTCGAGACTGAAGGATGCCTACTAGGAGAACATGTACAGGAAGCCTCTTAGATATATAGACTCAAAGCCATTTAGAGCTTTAAATCAAAACCAGTATCTTGAATTATGCTAGGAAGGTAACAGAAAGCCAAAGCAGGCTCTAGAAGATTGATGTCATATGCTTCTACTGACCTACCAAGCATCAGGGATGGAGATGTCCATATCTGTATGAACTGCACCCTTCAAACAATCTTCAAGGAAAGTTCTACCCTCCTCATGCTAACTCCCTTTCCACAGTATATAAATAAATTGGAACATTTCTCTCTTTAGATAATTTGATTAAAATGCTAGAGTTCACATTTCAGGTCAGTAACATGTATAGAATGGAATGCCTAGGTTAACATGACTCATACGTGCCATAGTTCCGAAAGACAAATTACATTACACATGAATCATTAGATTGTTTCACATTGTAACGTTTTCATACCTACCTGACTGAGGTTTGAGTGCTGCTGATGGAATGCTGATATCAATTTTCGCTGGCGATTACCCAAACCAGAAAGATGGTTCGTTTTTGCACGAGCAGATCGGCGTTTTGTCAGTGGTTGGCAGGTGGTAACTAGCGAAATGTAAACAGGTCAACATAGTGTTGCTTCTTAAAGCACCCCTTCCTTTTGCTTTAGTAATAAACTTAGAACATCTATTTATCATAAACCTTAAATATATATTGCAGAATTCTATTCTATCAGGACACTGAGGCTGAAGAACTACAGATATCCCTGATTATTATTTGTTTGAGAAAACAAGATAAAAGAGAATTGCACAAATGCTATAAGTATAGGGCTCAAGCTAATGTTTATATGAACAGAAGTCATTTTCAGAATGGATCTTTCATGACCCCTCCTTTTCTTTATGCACACCACAAAAATATCCCTAACCAGGCTCTGTATTTCAGGGGAGGCCACTGAAACCTATGCACAGGTCCCTTATAACAGTGTCCACCTGTACTAGCTCAATGCGCTTCTACAGAATTTTCAGGAATTCTATTGCTATTAGACCTCTCTTCCCATGCCACATTCTGCAGCAGTCAAAGGGGCCCCTAATATTCCAAACATGTTATTGAGGGATGCCAGAGAAAAAGCAGGAAGGAAAAATTAATTACATAACTGGCCCTTTACTCACTAACCTTTATATACAATATACACTGAATGGAATGTGTCTGGGAGTATAAAACAAATTAAGTGCTGATTACCTGCATTTGTCATTTGCTCATCTACATTTAACCTGTTCTCTATCCTCATTTGTGGCACAACCACAGTGCAGACAGCTGGTTTGGCTTCCAAGATAGCTGAGGCTCCAGTTTCTGGATTTTCACTGGTATTTTCCACAAAACTGTTTTCTAAGAATGGGCTATCATGGCCTGAAGAGTCCGAACTAGGTGAGCCATCCACAGTATCACAGCCACTTTCTTGTTCATCGTCTGACATACTATAATAAATAAGTAAAGCACTGTTCTGAATTGCACACTCCACAGTCTCTCTTACCAGTAGTATAACAAAACATTACTTTTTCCTTTGATTCAAATATTTAAGTGGGAGGATTCAGATTTCTGTCTCAAAAGTTGGGTTCCTACATTCCAGCTTTATACAATCAAGGCACATTGCCAAGGAAGTATGAACGTTTTCAAAATCCTAGGAGTTTCAGATCTTTCCATAATGTAAATTTCCCCAAGAGTGTCAGCCAACTATTATGAAGAGTGACAATGAACTCTCATAAAATTTTATTCTCTCCAAGAACACAATTTTACTGCTGTATAATTTAAAGCCATTTAAAACTCCAATAAAGGAATTGAACACAGCCCTCTCTAAACTGCTTCCCAATTTCATATGGATCAAATAAAAGATATTGCCGTTCCCAGAAAATTTAAACAGGGAAAATGAATTAGGTGATCCAAAACACAGGCATTCTATATGCACATCATCCCTTGGGATTCATCTGATAGCAACCTCCCCACAGTTCTGATTAGCTGCAGCTTCACTGCCATTTACTGTTCAAAACAGCCCCTTTTTCCAAGCAACTATGGCTTTGCTCTAAGCTAACTCTCTTTATCCTACATGATGTCATCATGCAGACAAACCTATTGGCTGCATAAGTATATTACTGTTACTAAGAGGAAAGGGAATTATTTTTTCCAAAGAAAAAATGACACTAATTTTAGCCAATCAGAGCTAATTAAACTGACAAACATTCAGAGAATTGTTAACCCAACAACTGAAGCAAGGAGAAGACCTGTATAAAACATTCACTGAAGAACATCTGGCTCAGTCCTAGTAATTTATTTCATCTTTTAAAATAGAACAGCTCAGTTGTCATGGTAATCGTTGCCGGGGTAGTAAAGTAATTTTATAGCACATATTTAAATGATTACAAATCCAAGATATTCATAGCTGAACCAAGCTGCTCATTTTAGGTCTTTCTTCAAGATGGCTGAAAACTTGACTGTTTATATTTGCAATCAAACGTGAGTTACAACACAGAATTCAAAGACCAAAAGAGCTGCCCACAGCCTTAAAAAGGTATCTTTAAGTACATCAATACCAGTCTTCAGAAATATTATATGACTTGCATAGCAATCTTTCATATGTACACAAAATCCAGGAAAAAAAACTGAAGCCAGGATATATTATACATAGGCAGCATTTAGGCACATAAAGCTTATTCACTCACATTCCACCATTTATTCAAGTGGGAACAAACACAGTAACTGTTATCTAGAAACTAGAAACCCAGGTTTAAAGCTGGCTGCCAAGTCCTGACCTGTCTGGAGATACTTAACCATAGTTCCATGTTCACTTGTAACACATAATTATTATCAAAATCTAGCAGCATGGTTACATTGGCACAGCAGAAAGGAGATCACCATCAGCGTTAGACTGCCAAGAATTAAGCAGGTTCTCCTTTGTTTCCAGACAGGGTGACTTTGTTTCATTGTGCAAGAGTCTCACACAATCTGAAATTGAAGCAGGAGGTGTTTAATTCATGGCAATCTGATGCTGGTGGTGACATGGCTACACAAAAGGATACTGGTGAATGATTAAATCCAAACTCTTGGCTTGTTTACCTGATTGCATGAAGGCTATGAGTGAAGATGCAGGAAATGGGGCTGCTTACATGACTCTTGTATATATACCCAGGTACATTGCAAGTTTAATGTGAGTCACACAAATTCGGGCTATTGACACAAAAACCAATCCAATTATTTTCATTTCTAACCTGTTAGGTCTTTTACAAGGAGAAGGACTAGACTGCCCAGAGGAGCTAGTACTCAGGGTGCTGTCAGGACTGCTTAGTGAACACACACGGTCAATGTTTAGCGTACTCTGGCAAGCTTCACAATCTAAGCTACCTTTACATCTGAAAGAGAAAATGAGAGACACTTTCAATGCTTTGCCCACCAACATTCATCAGTATAACTTTAAACATCACTAGTAACTATTAACTGCATTGGTTTACTGTCAACGGTTATGTTAAGGCAGAATACAAAAGGCTGGCAGCTGTAAAGACATAGGGACTGCAGGATACCACCTAAAAAATTTCATTTTCCTGCTTGCTTAACCCAACATTACACCTTGATTTTGAACTTCTGCAAATTGTAAGACTCACACCACTACCGTAACATTTAGAATTTGGGGCTTCCAATATATATTTAATTATATAAACACTACACATAAAGGATTGGATGCAAAAGATCCCTTTTATGAACAGAAAGAACCTTTTACTCATAATACAAAGATGCCAGATTTTTCACCCCACTCTCAACATAACCTTCAGAAACAGATTGGTCAGGAGTACAGAAATCTCCAGCAGGAAAAGACAGAAAGCCCCATACTGCAATGGAACTCATCTGCACTGTTTCACAGTTTACTATGTCACTAATACATATATACCTGTTTTTCTGATTTATGCTTCCTTTCCCATTCATGAGAGTCCTTATAACTAATGCACAAAACTAACTTATGTAACACACAGAAAACTCCATACAAAAACTATGATTCAACTGGCCAATGGAATGAAAAGCAGAATGAAGAAACTTTCAAATGTATCCCACTTTTGTCAGTTTTTTTTAATGCAGCCTCTTTACTGGAACCAAAGTCACATCCCATCCCTTCTCATCCTTTTGGAAAACATACAAGAACAACTACGTACTCTGCAGCCAGATGCCTTTGTGCCACATCATCTTCATCTGTGTCACTGCTAATGGTGATCACACTGACCGCTGGACTTGGTGAATCCGCAATGATTATAGCCTGCCGTTGTTTGTTGGAAACAGATGAATCAGGGTCCTGCCTGACAGATGGTTTGCAAGAGATCTTTTCCTGCCCCTCAGAATTATGATTGTCCTGGGTTTCAAAACAACTTTCTTTTTCACAAGCCTTCACATTAATTATCTTTGGAGACATAAATGTTGAGTTTGGGATATTGGTACTTGGCAGCACATTGCTCCTGTGAAGAAGGGTATCTATTTAGGCATGCCATTAAAATGTTCATTATGAAAGAAAAAGTAGTAACTTAATATTGTCCCTCCTCCCCAAATCAATTTACACCAGAACAAAAAAATTGACACATCAATGAATATAAATCAACACATGAAACATAAAACAATGAAGATACAGGTAACACTGAAAATGTTGTTTTCCAAACAAACATGGAAAACTTTCCAGGTATTTTTTTGCGTATCACAAGCAGGGTTGTTCAGATGCTGCAATGCAAGGTTCAAAGTTGGATTTACCAATGAAATGTAGTACAATATGCTGAAGGTACCATTCTCTTAAAAAGGAAAGAGGAAATGAAGAAATGCTGGCTTGGACACCATAGACATTTTGAATCAGATTCAGAATCCACTGAAAAGGACCAGGAACCATGTTCACTGACTTCAGTGGGTATGAATCAGGGGTTACTTAACACAGTTCATCATTGTAACTGTTCTTCCCGGTCTTAGGTTTCTCCATTACTGAAATGTCCCATACCTTTGTAAATAACTTCTGTAGTGATGGGGCACATTTTCTCCACAGAGCACTTAAAGTGTTTCTTGCTGCCAGCAAAAGAAAGACTATTCTTAATACTATTCTAAGTCATATTATGACTACCATTATACTATTCACAAGAGCCTCTATTTCAAATATTTCAAATTTGACAAGTCTTCATGCATTTTAAATTTAAGAACATCTAACTAGGGCAACCTGCTTTATTAAATAATCAAACCAAAATTTATTTCTGTAGATATTTAGTAAAAGCCAGTAGTGTAACGAACAGAAATCAGATTAGAGGGCAGCAAATGCTACTTTAAAATGCATTATTTTCTTTTTTGTTGTCATTTCTGCTATACCTTGGTTTTAAGCAAACATCCCTTGGTTTTAAGCAATAGGCTTCTCAGCAGTTTATGTTGTCTGTGACAAAGCATTTAATGTTTAAAGAAATAAACATTCTAAACAAACATTTGGGTGCATCAACAACCTGGTGGGCATACAGTGTTTCTAAAAATACGTTTGTTAACGGGATTCTGAAAACAGGAAGCTTACATATAAATCAGTCACAGACCCACTATGTAATACTAACCTGTTCTGGCACACTTTGTTCCTTTTGGTAGGTGTGGGCTGAGGCCAAACCACATGTGCAATGCCCACACTAATTGGCTGAGGGGCAGATAAAGTTATTTGATTCGTTAAGAGGGACTGTGCCATCACTGAATTGTAATGGTTGCCATGGGGGATCAGCTTCCTGGGGGGACGGCAAAGCAAAGAACAAGGCAGAGTGGCATACTTTGTTTACAAAGATAAAATATACTGTACAAATTCAACCAAGTGCTTTCAACATACCCCCAGTCTCCAAGTCTCTGTGGGCCAGCCACAGAATCAGATGCCAGGGTAGGAGCAGGAGCCACAGGGGTCACTTGTTGCCACGTAGGAAGCAATATTTGCTGAGCTCTGTTAGACCAGGCCTGTGGCAAACACAAAAGCATCATGAAATACTACATCTGACACTGGAAGCTTCCTTATATGAAATCAGATCACTGGTCCACCAGCCCAGGATACTGTTAAAAGTAGACGAGCGGAATCTCGTTCACTTTTCAAGTAAGAGATCTTCTAATTTTATTCCCCAAGAGCCTACTAAATGATGTGTGACATTTAACCACATGCTTTAACACTGAAGTACTGTACAAGGCCCTCCCCACCAATGTAACATTACTTCAAAAACAACAACCAACAACATTTCTAACTGCTGAAAATGTAGAGTCTGCAAACCAGTTACCATACCTGAGAAAGGACTCCTCTTATCTGCAACGGCTGCAGGGTTGGGGCTTGTGTTACCAATGGCACTGCGTTATCTACTCTTACTGAATATCCATTCGGCTTCCCATGATTAGCTGGTATGCCTAATTCAGGAGATTAAAAAAAATAACGATAAATACAATGAAATAAAAGGAAAGCTTGAATCAACTAAAATTTAAAAACCACATACTGTTAACTGTATGTGTACAGAAAGAATACTAACTTGCAGCCCTAGGTAGCTGCTCTGAAGACTTGAGATACGGTGCTCTGGGGAAGGACACTTTCTTCCCTTGCCCTACTCCAGTGAAAAACACTTCCACATAAAGCTACTATTGGATCCAAAAACAGAGAAAAAGAGACCAAGCACACATCTTGTTCCTGCATTTTGTCTCCTCCACAGCTAACAGCAGTTTGAAGAAGCAGTCTATGTTAGGGAAAGGGCAAACAGGAAAGGGTTAAAATAACCTCACCAAGAAAACCACTTATCCAGTCTTGAAAGAGGACAGGCTCAAAAATACACCACAGATTCTAATCAATGATTTCCTGCAGCACATCAAGTTTGGCCATGAGATGATTATGCTTTACTGTGATGGTCAAACCTGGCAAGCCACTGTTACTGGTGGTCACTGTTTTTGTCTAAAAAAGGGGCTTAAATCCCAAGTGCCAAACCCTGGCAGGGCCAGCAAAAATCAGATTATAAAGTTGTACAAGTATCCCAAAGGCTATTTTTTTTTTCATGCTGGTTGTACCGGAAGCAGGTGTTTGAGCACTTAAACACTGGACAGAAATACAGCATAACAGTCAGCACCAGAAAGAGACGCCTGCCAGAAAATTATAGAACAGTCTGTGGTCAGCTATATCAAATGAGCCCTTCACTCATCAGCTAGATCCTTTTCAATTCTGGGATTAATCGGCTAGCACATGCTGCAGTCTTTTTTCAACAAGTCCCACCAGACAGAGGAGACACTGCTTCAACTTGGCATTAATAGAAATTCCACAAAGTCTGCACCATTTTAGTCCTGCAATCCAAAGCACGATTGATAAAAAATAAACGTACATAACAGAAATTTTGTTAGGGAAATAAAAGTGAACTTTAATCAAAAATAAAGACAGACTAAGCAAACACAGTCATTAGGAAACATGACCCAGACAGCATCTGCCAAAGGATGACAGACTAAAAAGCTGATAGGCACTGACAGGCCCACAATGTTTCTAGACCTTTGCCATGTGGCAAGTTATCTCAGCACGCATAGGCTAAGCATGTTGCCCTTAAGACTGCTATATGTATTCTTCCGCAAAAATTATATGAACTTCCATGCATGGCAGTTTGTGTGATGAATGAAATAACACATTTTAAAATTTAACCACAGTATTGCAGGTTAACAATTATTTTAGTTCTTCATTTAAAATATATAGCATCTAATCTTATTCTTATCTAATCTTATTTTTAATTTTTCACACTTTAAAAACATTTGCCCACTAAAGTACATTGATCATCAGTTCAATCCAGTAAAACAGAAAACCTCAAGTAAAATATTCATTATTTATCCCAAGGATTCTTCAACAATTAAAGTGAATACTCAATATGTAGAAGACATTGATTGTCCTTCTTATACTATTTCCAGGGAAATTCAGAATGCAGCAAAGACTTTAAAAATTATTACTGAAGTATTTTGTCTTGTTTTCCATTCAACCATTAAGATCTTACAAGACTCCCACAGATAAAACACTCACGTACATATCTAACAAGCATAGACTTAGATTCTGAGGGTGCTTTCCACAAACAGAAGGGCTCCTTCCATTCAGAGAAAGTTTTAGATATGGTCAAAGACCCTGCTGACAGAAGAGGAGTAGACAATTTTCCCCACTGCTCCTCCTCTGCCGCCACCACCACCATCACATCCCAGAGGATCACACAATTCCAGAGCATATTTTGGGCAGGCAAAACAGACTGGCAGGATGACAGGAGTCAGCAACAGTTACATCACCCCTTTCACCAAAAGAAATGTCCAGTGAGAAGAATTTCATGAAAATGCTCTTGAAAATTAAAACAGACTCAAGATTCAAGCCAATGTATTTTACTAAAGGAAAATCTACTTTCACGTTTTTTTAGAATGCACATCAAATGTTTAAGTTCAGCTCAAACCTTGGATAGCAGGGGGACATATAATCAATGTTTGATGAAAACCATCACTGCAACCAAACTGAGCAGTTCCTGCTTGTAGTGGTATTCCATGGTGCATAACCGAATGAGCAGATGCAGCTAATGCCTGAAACAATAGGTGAATTATAAATTAACAAGATGATCTCTATGTTTTCCAAACTAAATTAAAAGATACATTTTGGACTGAACTAAATAGTAACATTTTAGTTCGCCAGAATATCAAACATGCCTTATGTTCTTAGTCATAATGTTACATAAACTTTACACACTCTTATAGGAGCTGGCAAAGACTGGTAAAATGAAGATCAATCCGATTATTCAGTAAAGGTTCCCCTTGAGATTTAGTCTGGTTGTGTCCGACTCTAGGGCGCGGTGCTCATCCCCGTTTCCAAGCCATAGAGCCAGCTTTTGTCCAAAGACACTTTCTGTGGTCACATGGCCAGCACGACTAGACACGGAACGCCGTTACCTTCCCACCGTGGTGGTACCTATTTATCTACTCGCATTTACATGCTTTCGAACGGCTAGGTTGGGCGTTCAGATTATTCAGTACACACCAACAAATTTAACATTTGACCACGTGAGGGCACTACAGTAAAACGTTTCTGGAATACAAAACTCTCAGTGCTCAACTTTACTTGAGTATTTCAAAATGCTTAGGAAGAGAAACACTAGAAAAGGAATTCAACTTTTAACTTGTTTACAGCTCTGCAGCCATTTAGAGTTAAAGGGGAGCCCACAATTAAAGCCTCCCTTCCCCTTGACTGACATTAGGAATTGGAAAAGATAAGCTGAAAAGCAAAGAAGGAATAGAAATCAGAGGATCCAACTATTCATTACTCTCACCATAGATATATACAACAATAAGGAGCTTCAGGTATGACAAGCAGTGGTGACAAAAGGCACAAGAAACACAAATATTTCACCATCTATATTGGTCATGTATGGAACAGAATTTTCACATCTTTGCCCATGGAGATGAGGTTGATGTAGGTAGGATGTTTCTGCATAACTCATCCTACATAAGGGAAGATGTGAAGATTCTATAGAGTTGACCACAGGAGTGCTGAATCACTTGTTTGTTTACTGTTCCCTCTGACATATCCATCAAATCCAAATTGACTCCTTATGCAAAACCAACAAAATCAAGCACACTTCTATTGTGACAGAAAAAGAAAAAAGAGAAAAAATTGTCTTGTTGCATCTTTTAGGACTGAATATATATATTTTACCATGACCTTACTCACAAGCATGCTACAGTATCCTATTGAGAACAGTATCCTATTTTATCAGATGTATGACAGATTGTGATAATGTTCGTTCATTTTACTTTTTATCTATTTTCTGTTGGAAATGATTTACAGCGACCGTAATATCATCTTGAAGGTTAAGTGAGATTTTAAGGAGTGGTTTACCAGTCCACCCCAACTCCATATGTTTCCATAGCTAAGCAAGGATCCAAACCCTAGTCTACTGAGTCTATCACTCTGTTTATTAAATCACCCTGAGTACCATGTAAGTAGGATTATATTATTTACTCAAAACATGCATTTAAACTAGATGAATATGACATGGTCCCTGGGGTGTGGGTAGTGGAGAGGAGAAAACTCTAAAAAAATTACTTCATACTTACCTGACTTCGTATTGCACCAATCTTGGCAAAGTTACCCGTCAGACCTGGTGCACTGCCTGAGACAACTGGCCTCAAATGCGTTATTTTATTGTGATTATTTGTATCACAGGAATTTGATCTGTACTTGCAAACATCCATGATATGAAAACAGGATTTCACTCTAATTACAAAATAGAGAGAGAGAGAGAGAGGACTTGTAATTGTCTATATATCATGCTTTATTTTGCTATATATCAAATGTCTGTTTAAAATTATACATTTTTTTGCTTCCATTCTATGAAGAATCTGCATTATAGGAATATGTATTTATTTGTGAATCAGCTCCTTTAAACTGTGAGGAAAATATGATTTGGCCCTATAATTGTTAAACATCATTTCATTTTATGCAACAAACTGCATCCATGCTATACCAAATGCAGCTCTATTCATTATTATTCCTTAATATCAATGGCAGCTATTCTGCTGAACATATTTTAATTTCTCCAGTATCTATAGGAATGATATATAGCTAAGTTAAAATAAAAGATAAATTTAAGTTTGGTTCAAGAACATGCATAATTAAATATTTTCCTGATTTTTCCCAAATATTTTGTGTCTCATAGACTGAAATACTTGATTTCATATACAGTGGTGCCCCGCTTGACGACGATAATCCGTTCCAGCAAAATTGCTGTAGAACGAAATTGTCGTCAAGTGAAAGTAAAAAGCCCACTGAAATGCACTGAAAACCGCTCAATGCGTTCCAATGGGCGAAATACCTCATCATAAAGTGAAGATCCTCCATAGGGCAGCCATTTTCCGGTGCCTGTAAAGTGAGGGAACACAGCGGGGAGCCATTTTGAAACAGCAGGCGGCCATTTTGAAACTTGATGATCAGCTGTTTTGATCGTCGTAAAGCGAAAAATCGGTTCCCAAAGCAGGGAACCGATCGTCGTCAAACGGATTTTCCCCATCTAAACACCGTTTTCTGATCACAATAGTGATCGCAAAATACTCATCGTGAAACGATTTTGTCGTCTACCGCGGTAAGCATCTAGCGGGGCACCACTGTATCACATCCATTAGCATTTTGTTTATACCGGCAATTTCCTTGTCTATGCATTCATTCCTAATATCTACCATGTAACATCTTCTATTTAATGCTATTTTAGACCAATCAGAGGCAACTGAGCCAATAATGGCTATGCCTTCCCTTTCAATGTTTATATTTGTACAAAGTACACGAGAAAGGATTTTTTTACTCCAGGCAGCTCACAGAAAATTCTGACACATAAAGAACTCAACAATACAGACATTAAATAATGCAAGACATGCTCTTCTCCTGGAACAAACAAATCACAAATAGTGAGAATTCAGGCAACACATTTGATATCATACATGCCATAGTAAAACTCTACCACGAGTTCACAGTAGCAGAAATATGTACAGATTTGTCAGTGTGCTTCATAAAAGTTATCTGGCCTGGAAATTAGGCTGTCCTTAAGAGAGTAACTAACTATGTTGCTTCAGGTTGAAGGGTGGTTAGCATCATGTTTTTGAATGTTCTGGCAAGTAAGAAATCCTTGCAGAAAGGAAGCAAGGTTGCAAGGAGGACACTTTTGGCTAATCTTACTTCTGACATGCCATATTTCAAACATGGTCATTCAGTGGCACATCTACACTGCACTACATCTGTGTGTACACTACATCTGTGTGTATGCCATGATGGCATGGGCTGGGGCCAGAGGAATAAAGCAAGCAAAGTGAGCAGGAGGCAGCAAGTAGGAGGAGCAGAAGTCACCATTACCCACTCTTCTACTAGACCCAATCCCCATGAGCAGACCCTGGGCCTCAATCAGTCAAACATGGACAGAAGATGAACTGGCCAGGACATCAGGGTACCGCTTACTAATTCTCTTCTATCTAGGTGGATTTCCCCTTCAGCAAATGCTACATATAATATGTCAACAGTGCCAACTGAACCGTTACAAAATGAAGTGCTTGTGTATATAGCCACAGGCCATAGCTTCTGTAACTCTGGCTCTGTAATAATCCTCACCAATGTGATCCAGAATCAAATGCGACAGGAGTTACAGCAAACACTGCAGCACAGGAAACATGGAAGCCATTCAAAAAGGTGCACCCAGGCCTAGTTTTAAAAGTGCTTTATGTGACATACTGGTTGCTATGAGGAAAATCAAGGAGGTGCTTCATGGTAACAAAAGGATGGTTCAGTGTGTCAACTGGAGTGATTCTCAAGTCAGCATCTATCAGCAGCATTTTCTTCAAAAGGCTGACAAACTCTCTTCTGTCTGCTTTCTCTGCCAACAGGTCACTTCCTTCCAAATCCATCATCATGTTCACCTGGCATTGAATAATTAAACGGTAGAGTGCAAACAATTAAATCTTTTTAATTCATTTTTACCTTTTACCTTTTTTATTTAACATTGATATCCCACCTTTCTGTGACAACAATAAAGTCTAGGCATTTTTCAATATAAATATGGGTCACAACAACAGTATAAGTAAGTTTTATTATGCGGTCATAGACCTGATTTTACAAAGGTAAATACACAGAATAAATACATAGTATAATATAAAGTCTTGTTATAGCGATCTGCAAATTCTCATAACTGAAAACAAAAATTTAGCCACTAACTGTGTTGTTATTTGATTCTCTCCGGACAGCAGAAACTTCAAATAGCCTGTGGCTACAGAAGAACCATAATATGTTCAAGAACAGTAGCAGAAAATTTAATTTTAAGTGGTATCACCAACAAAAGCTATTTCATGTGCTTCTCAACATTTAGAGGTAGTGAATAATAGAAATGGGCAAGACAGGATTTGTAAACGAAGGAAGGGCGTGAAAAATCATTTGGCTTCCCATCAGTGTCGGTTGACAGAGACCACCAAGAAGATGAAATCTTCATATATAGATGGGATATTGTTGAAAGAAGAGGAGATTATGAGCCTTTTACAGAGGTGTGAAGTGATATAACGCAATAAAATGTCTTCTAACAGGAAAGTAACTGCATTAACTTTATATGCTCTCGTAGACCTACTGAAGATGACCACCAAAATATAAATAACATGGTTTTAAGTTTTTCCTGCAAGTCCAATAAAATAAAGAAATTTAAGCAGTAAACAAAGATAAAGAATCCCACCAAGTAAAATTAGACAGAAGCAAAAGCTTTAGGACTCCAAAAATTAGGAGTCACAAAACATTTTGAAAAACATTTTACATCAAATATAGATATGCATCTGTATATATACTCACATGCACTATATCATCCAAACTGTTAAAAATGTACTTTCGGGCCTCTTTAGACTTCATCCCCGTTTCTCCTTCATGTTCTTCCAGTGTCTTTAGAAAAGTTAAATGGAGAAAAAGATTTATACATTATATTCAATGGACTGAAAAAATTGTCCTGTGGATGAAAGCAGTGGCCATCTACAGTAGGTAGTCTTGTGTTTTTATTTTACTGTTGTCAGGATATGGCATATTTACAGGATATTTACAGTTTTGTTCAGAAGAGAAGGAAGAGAAGGAAAACTCCAATTTCAAACCTTCACTGCCTTGTGGCTATATCCACTCATGGAAAAGGCTTCAGGAGTTAACCTCGAGGCAAAAGCCGGAGCTGGAGTCCCGAAGGCAGCATGTGTCGTTCTGCCAACTCCTGCGACATTGCTGGAACCAGTTGTATTGGCTCTTGCCTTTCCATTGGATCATTTCAGCAATGAGGAGAGGGGGGATCTGCTGCTTGGGTAACAGCCTATCCTCCATATTACCTTACCCGGGCTTCATGCTCTGGAAAGGACACTCCTCGATTCAGAGCATGTTACCATAGTCTCTTGAGACTGAAGGATGCCTATGGATGTTCAGAAGACCATAAATGGTTCCTTCATTGGAAATTAGCATTGTACTTCTACTTTATGCTGGAATACTCAGCATCACTGCTAGGTCATAAAGTGCTAGCTAAATCAGATTTAACATCAAGCGATAAATATGGAAATGCAAAATTGTAACTATTAGAACCAATTCTGTTCTAGTGAATACAGATAACTGCATTTGAGAACAGTTAAATTCACACTGTATATCTGTCCTCCACACAGGTAATGGAAATCTGAGATCCAGCTCTTTCCCCATAAATGGGATGAACAGTAATGTTGCAGGGTTGTTGTGATGCATGATCAAAACAAGAACTGGAACTCTCTGAACACTGGTTATAACTAGACATGGGGACGAATATAAAAACGAATCAGGATATTTGTTAAATATTCCTGATTTGTCAGATATTCATTGCTTCGTATTCTTCGGGTCCAGAGACTCCAACAAAATACAAAGCAATTAATATAACCCTTTTATATTCGTCTCTTTATTCCCCATCTGCCTATGCCCCACAGATCAGCTGTTCCTCGGGGGCATAAGCAGGGAACTTGCTAAAGCCTGCCAGAAGGGAATCCCACCCTCGGGCTGGGGGATGGCTTGGTTTCTTTTTCCTCCTCTTCTTGATCCCTGCTTTCCCCTTTCTTGCTAACCCCCCGGGGGGGGCTTAGCAAAAGGAGTGGGAAAGGGAGCAAAGTGCTGCAGGATCACTTTGATCCCTGCTTTCCCTCCTCTTGAGGGAAAGCAAAAAACAAAACAAAACCCCAATGAATGATGAATTCGTTGTTCCTTGGGTCACTTGGGGGGGGGGCAATTCAGGGGCAATATTGGTGCTTCATCCCCATCTCTAGTTATACCATAAAGAAAATTAACTGCTACTTTTTGATAATCACTAGAGGGGTATTCTAGTGGGCAACCCAGCAGCAGAAATTGATTGCCTTCTTCTACAAATAGTAGACATTTCAAACCATTTACACTCTGTTCCATGAGAGGTATGATTGAACCTCTCATGGCCCATAACATTAATACATGTTAATCACACACAATTTAAATACCACACTTCTAATCTTCTGGAAGATGCGAACTGGCAACCTGTTCCATTCCCATTCGCCTTTCAGGGCTGATGCAAATGCTGTTCATTGTACATGTGATATAAACAATTAAATGGGGGTGAGAGATTGCTTTTCGGAAGGGCCAAACCAGGTTGGATTTGGTTTAAATCAAATTGATTTAAATAATGATTTAATTTTAAAAATTGCATTTTTAATTATTTAAGTGAAAAAAATCAATTTAAATAAATTTGTTTTTTTTTCTTTTTAATCATTGATTTTTAACCATCCTGGGTCAAACACTTCCTAGAACACCCCTCTGCCCACAGGGCTTGTATCTCTTAGACACTTTGCTGCTATCTAAAACCCCGATCAGTTGTAGCACCAGCTCTGCAGCATTTGGAAAACCACTGTTCTCTAGGTAAGAGTGACATCATTACACAGTCAATCAGATTCTACCATATGACGACACTACAGTACAAATGAGCAAAGGATATTATGAACTGAAGCAATGGCACTTAAGTTCCAGGCAATTGGTAAAGGGAAGCAGTCCAATTCAGCATCAAAGCTACCTGAATCTTACCTACATTGGAGGGAGTGTCCCAATGAAGCAGAGAATGGCCTCTCTCTGAAGCAAACCACCACCCATCACCACAGAGAAAGAGCACATTACACACAGGGGAAAAAAATCTCCGCGGCTGAAGCTCAGCAGCACTGCTTCCTTAAGGCATCCAACCATAAATAACTGAACATAGGAACTCTGGAACATAGGAAATCTGGACAATTCTTATTACCTTTAATCGCCAACCAGAATATGGGGAATCTGTTTCTTTATAGAAAAATCGAGTTGTCTTTGTGCCAATGTTCAACAACTGCTCTGAAGGCAAGCCTTGTGTTTGCGAAATATAACGAATCTGGAGAGATGAAAAATACAGTAAAGAACCTGTCCAGAAATGCTACATATTTTGCTCTGCTTCACTTCTTTTGACTCTTGTTGTTTCTGCATCCATTCTGTTTCCAATTATCCTGACTTTCTCTACCTGTCCTTCTAGTCCCCTTCCTGATACCAAGCACACTCCCCCATAACCACAGAACCTCTAGATTTTGGAATGCTTGCACTGTGGACATCACTTCATATGGGAGACACAGTATTATTAAACACCATCCCTTGGTGTAAAACCAATACAAAATGTCGATTTTGGAGTGACAAAAAGGTGTGGGACTTGAAGGGAAGAGTCAACATGAAGAGAAATAGGACAAACATTAGCTGGATTCTGAGAAAGTTTCTGGAAAAATCAGTCCACAACTAAGTCCTTAAGGCTGAACATATGCTGCATTCAAAGACCCTTTATTTTTAAATAATTCATTATACATTTAGTCAATTCACCACTCCATTGTTCTGTAATGTAATGGCTCAGGAACATGAGACCAAAGAATGATCAGTTTAGCATCATCCAGGTTATCCAGAAGTTAGTATTGTTGTTTAGTCGTTTAGTCGTGTCCGACTACGTGACCCCATGGACCAGAGCACGCCAGGCCCTCGTATCTTCTACTGCCTCCCGAAGTTGTGTCAAATTCATGTTGGTTGCTTCGCAGACACTGTCCAGCCATCTCATCCTCGGTCGTCCCCTTCTCCTCTTGCCATCACACTTTCCCAACATCAGGGTCTTTTCCAGGGAGTCTTTTCTTCTCATTAGATGGCCAAAGTACTGGAGCCTCAGCTTCAGGATCTGTCCTTCCAGTGAGCACTCAGGGTTGATTTCCTTTAGAA